TCGCCGAAAGACTCTTGGACACGGTGTACAGCGCGATAAAGATCGCGGGTCCTGCAAAATTCAAAGTAGGCGATTCGGTACGCGTGAGCAAGTACAAGACGATTTTTGAGAAAAGTTACATGCCAAATTGGACCACCGTGTTTACGATCGTTAAGGTGCAGCGTACCAATCCTGTAACCTATTTACTTGAGGATATATTGAGGATTTATCGCGGAAAATCCATCGCTGGAGCGTTCAATATGATCCAGAAACTAAGCGTCAAAATGCGGAATGGAAGTCAAAAAATTCACCACAAGCAAAAAGAGTACGAAAAGTTCCATCAAAAATCAAGACAATGCTCATCACATTCTTTGATAGCAAAGGTATTATTCACAAAGAGTTTCTACAAGTACGAGTTGCATCGCGCTACTCATCCGGACGTGTATCTCGTGGAGAAAGTACTGCACAGGAAGGGAGACAAGGTGTACGTCAAGTGGCTGGGATTCGATGGATCGCACAATTCATGGATACACAAAAACAATGTTATTTGATGAAATTTTGATATATTTTATTTCTATATATAAAAAATATATCAATATAATTATATAAACGTATATTTTTTATTACTTCCCATTCATCTTCGTTTTGCAGTATACAGATATAAAATACGTATATAAATGTACGACACATGAAATGAAAATAATAGTAATACATAAATGGTACTACATAAAACGTAATAGTAATACTTATATAAATGTAAAAAAAATGCGTGTAAATTATAATACGTGTAAATTACGTGTAAATTATAATAGTAACATGCACACTGTATGAAAATATTTAAAAATGTAGAAAAAACATAATAGTAATATAAATGTTGATACACGCACATGCACACACACACACACACACACACACACACACACGCACACACACACGCACACACACACAGGGTTGGCCATATTCGACGGAAAGATCTGGCAAACACTGTAACTTTTGACAGAGATGTTAGATCGAGTAACGACGTTTCCCATGATTGAAAAAAAAACATCTTTCCATCGAATATGGCCAACCCTGTATTACAAAGGTATCCGCCAATGCCCCCACGGTAACGTCTCCGTCGAATCCGGTACGACGTATCGTTTATCATCGTATGGACTCAGAGCGATTTTCGATTCGGATATCGTGTACACATCGTGCAGTTTAAATCGTATACACGATTGACGACGAGTCATTTCGATCTCTTCGTTCAAACACCGCGTGTAATCGTCGAACGTTATCTTTCATGCTACGACGTTACTCTTTACGCCTTTCGCTTTTTTGGTTTCTCTCTTGCCGTCCACCCTCACCGCGTACATCTTCGCTCTGAGACCAATGAATTCGGTCATTATCACACTGTTATTTTCGTTCTTCATCAGACCGGGTACTTTTTTGTTCGCGAGAGGCATATAGTACGCGTTGTCCATCGGATAATCGCTCGTGTCGAATCTAGCGATATAATCTCGCGTTTCCGAGATAATACGTAGGGCACTATTTATATTTTGAGCCTAAAAATAAAAAAAACAGTAATTTGTCATTGAAAATGACTTTATTTTTTCAAAATATTCTCCTTTATGATCTATACACTTCTGCATGCGTTCGAACCACTTGTCAAAGCATTTTTTCCATTCCGCTTCAGACACCTCCAAAACATGGTTTTTGAATGCATCAACGGCTTCTTCTGCCGACGAAAATCGTTGTCCACGCAATTTATTCTTGACGTTCGGGAACAAAAAGAAGTCATTTGGTGCCAAATCAGGACTGTACGGCGGATGACCCATTAATTTGATTTTTTGAGTGCTCAAATAGTCGGTTGTTAGACGAGATGTGTGACTGGCATTGTCTTGATGAAGAATGATCCGGCGGTGCTTGTTTGTTTTCCTTATTTCACCGAAGACTTCCGGCAAACAAATGGTTGTGTATCATTCAGAATTGACCGTTCTACGTTCCTCTAAAGGCACTGTTGCCACATGACCAGTTTTTCCGAAAAAACAGGCGACCATTTGTTTCGAAGTGCTTCGAGCGCGAACAACTTTTGTTGGATTTGGTTCATCTTGAAACACCCATACAGTCGACTGCTGTTTAGTTTCCGGCTCATATGCATAGATCCATGATTCGTCACCTGTTACAATCTTATACACGTCTTTTGAAGCACCGCCATTGTATTTCTTAAGCATTTGTTTGCACCAATCGACACGAGCATCTTTTTGAGATTTTGTCAGATTATGTGAGATCCAACGAGAACAAACCTTTTTCACGGCTAAATGATCATGCAATATTTTATATATGCTGGTGGAACTAATGCCTAAGGTTGTCTCAATCTCGCAGTATGTCACATGACGATCTTGCATTATTAGTTTTTGCACAGCATCAATGTTTTCTGACATAACAACTGATTTTGGATGACCTTCACGACTTTCGTCGGTGAGCGAACAGCGACCACGATTAAATTCGTTATATCAGCGTTTCACAGTGGCAAAGGATGGGGCTTTATCGCCAAAAGTGGAAGTAAGTTGATCGATGCACTCCTGTCTTGATAATCCACGTCGAAAGTCGTAATAAATCATTGCACGAAAATTTTCACGAGTTAATTCCATTTTTTCGCTGAGACGCAATTTTCAAGTAACTGTAAACAATACAAATCGCGCTCAAATAACAAAACGTTCTGAAGAAGGTTGTGGTCAAAAATATCAAACTTTGTAATGAAAACGTCAGATGGCACCTGACGACATTCAGTGTTGCCAAGGCTCAAAATATAAGTAGTGTCCCTCGTAGTCTCGTAAACGTCCTCGCACTCGACGCTGTATACAAGACTGTCCGTGTCGGTGTATACATAATTTTACATTTGTCGCAAAACAGTGGTAACATATACATGGTAACAGTGATGAAATTCGTACAAGCAGACTTTCGATATATTGAGTATATACATACCCACGTAAATCGTCTTGTTGAACTTCACCTCGAGCGTTTGCACAATTCGACGGCGATCAAATTTTCCGCAAAGATGCTACGGCTGTGGAAATTCGGTTTCGCGATCATTGTCTCCGCGCCGTACCGTTCGTCCCATTTTCTTGATAATTTTACGTCAACGTGGTTGTGCACATTCTCCATAGTTTTACCGAATACCGCATTGTTCATCAATTTATATAAATTTTTCTCGAAATTTTTAGCGCGAGTTCTTGAAATTTGTATTGAGCTCAATATAATCGCGAAGCCATGCGCGAATTGTAGTACTCGATAAATCTTTGTTACGCGAAGACCGTGACGAGTACATTGCTGCAGGTTGCGGTAGTGGATGACGTAACGCTGTTTATCGTACAGCGTCGCTAAAAGTTTAGTCTCGCGCTTGCCGGCTTATCGCGCGTCGGACAGGTCAATGTGCAGGTCGTGTAGATGTTGTGGATACTCGAGATCGACTTCGAGAATGTAACCGATAACTATTGCAATATTGCACATTTTGTAACACAGCATTGCACATTATTTGCGCTATTAAATGCGCTAGTTTATTATCCATTCTCTATTCTTACATTTTAGAAATAAAATGCATCTATAATAATATAAAAGAAATCAAAAATTCAGAAAAATATATACACAGTGCGACAAATATGTTCCCGGACACGAACACATCTCAGCAATCAGTGGCGACATCTGTGCGTTCAAATATGCATTTTGAAGGTTGAACATTTTGCTATCATCTGTCAAAGTTTCATTCATTTTGGTTGACATATAATGAAGATATGACAGTTCATGTTAAACAAGATTTTGGTCGAGGTAGAAATTTTAATATGGAACAAAGAACAGTGATTAAATTTAACGCAAAACTTGGTAAAAGTGCATCAGAAACATTCCGATCGATGCAACAAGTTTACGGCAGTCAATGTTTAGGTCGTACAGCTGTTTTTGAATGGCATAAGCGTTTTTTGGAAGGCAGAGAGACCCTTGAAGATGACAAAAAATCAGGACGGCCAATTTTGGTTCGAACACCCGAAATGATCGAAAAAGTACGTGATTTTGCAAACGATCGCAATGCATCACTAAAAATGATGGAGGAGCTTTAAATATCAGTAGAGAAACGATTCGAACCATATTACATGAAGATTTGGGTAAAACGAAGGTTTGTGCGAAGTTTGTTCCACACACATTAAGAAGCGATCAAAAATCAGCGAGAATCAATTATTCCAGAGACATCGTTGCAGCCGCAGAAAATAATCCAAACTTCCTAAAATCAATTGTTACGGTTGATGAAACATGGTGCTTTCAATATGATCCAGAAACTAAGCGTCAAAGTGCAGAATGGAAGTCAAAAAATTCACCACAAGCAAAAAAAATATGAAAAGTTCCATCAAAAATCAAGACAATGCTCATCACATTCTTTGATAGCAAAGGTATTATTCACAAAGAGTTTTCCAACTGGCCAAACAATTACTGGTGCATATTATCTCGAAGTTTTAAAGCGATTGATGGGCAGAATTCATCGTATTCGCCCCGAATATCGTGATCCAGAAAATTGGTC